CAATGCCAGTCCAAACACTCCACAACCAGACTTTTCCAAAAGCTGCTGACTACGCACGAGGGCAGCGCTAAGTTTTCCGGGAATGCATTCTTCAAAAGTCAGTATGGGTGGCATGGTCGGTTGGCAGTTTTGCCCCGCTTTCGTTTCTCCATGCCGCACAGCTGTTCGAGCCCCCTCCTGCTAAGGCCTAGGTTTTCGGCTAGAGCTTTCATTTGTTCCCGCATCTCCCACAGTTGGCGATCGGGGACAACTTCTTCTGGGCGCCTGGGCATGCTTTTGGGCTGCAAGCCACTCCCGGCGCTGGCACCCCCAGCTGGTGGCTTTGCCTTTCGCTTGGGGTGCAACTCTAGGAAAGCCATGCCAGCGGCCTCACATGCTGGCGAAGCGGCATCGAAGCTCAGAACAGGCGGACACGCATGGCTCTCGACCTCCTCTTCCAACTTCTCATCCCCTTGATCCCCTTGACTGTTGCCCGTCTCCAACTTCTGATCTTCGGTCTTCGCATTCTCACTGTCTGCTTTGGAACCCTCCCCATCCATCTCCACCTGGTCGACCTTTGGCATCTCCATCTCATCATCCCTTGGCGCATTCACGTCCTCATTCTTGGACTTCTGAGCAATGCGCCTTCTTTGGCGCTTTCTTTGTTCTTTCCAGGGTGCCTGCTTATAGTGGAGGTTGAAGAGGTGCTCGGCATCCACTGATTCCGGGGAACCGTTGTCGCTTCCATCCTCCTTACAGACCGAGTGGTCACGCCCTTCCTCCTCGGAGGATATCGCCACCGATGTTGCCGAGTCGTCGTCATTCAGGTTGGCCTTGGAAACAGGACATCATGCAAAGAATGGCGGACAATTCCTACAGTACAGGAACAAAGATAAAGATTAATCAAAGCATTACTGAACAGTTTTTCTAAATAAAGACAGAGTACCCGCATCCCAGCTCTGTAGCACATGGCCATGTAGACCTCTTGGGTTTTGTTGGTCTCCATAGTAGTCTCCATGGCTGGGCTCAAGACGGCTTTGTCAGTCAAACTTGAGTCTGCTTTTCACTGGGGTGCGTTTCTATGGCTGTGACTGGGAACCTGGACGCCGCTTGTTTATCTTCAAAAGCTACGAACGTAAGACAAAGTGAAAGCAAAATTCCAAGTGATGGCGACTGCACTGTTCAGATTCTATTTAGTTGCAACTTGTAGGCGGGCTACCGCCAAACTAAAATACACATGTAGGCGGGCTACCGCCAAACTAAAATACCAACCAAAAGAGACACATTGACATACACTATATGTAACTATTTGGTTCTTTAGGTCTTACTTGAAAGTTTTCCTCGGAGCGCCTTTGTTTTCTTTGCTCTTGGAACAGTTATAATTACACAGTGACTGTTTTTGAAGACGGCAAAATTAAACTCATTGGCGCCTACACCCTTTCTGCTCGCTCCGGTACGCTTTGGCTTCTTCAAGGAGCCTTGCAAGGGTGGTCTCACCCTGGACCCATTGCCATACCCCGTCTCGGGCAATCAGATCAGGCATCCAACATCATGTCAAATCAGTAGCCGCGGGACCGCCAGCACGACAATGTGCAAAGCGGCCTTTGGCGGCACTTCGGGCAGCCATGCTTGAATTTCTTTTTGGTTTGCAGATCCAACTTTGCCAGGATAGCGTCCCTGAGTTTGTTCTTCTCCTGCTTGGAGATCACCTTGTTGGTTTTCTTCGAGACAGTCTTGACCTGGCAAGCCTTGGCAGGTCTCTTCAAAACCTTGCCAGAGGCTGAGGGTTTTTCTGACATGGGAAGATCAGAAAGGCCGCTCTGGCTGGCAGACTTTGGCTGGGATTTCATTGATGGCTTCTTCATGACAGGCTGCTTGTTCGAGCCCTCTTGTCGCTTGGCCCTAGCCTCCTTCATCTTCTGCATGCTTTGCTCCAGGGACATCTTTGCAGGCTTGTCATTGCTCAAGGGCGCATCCACGACCGTCTGGTCCTCGCGCTGCTCCTTCTCTATGGGCTTGACCTCCTGCACCAGATTCTGCGTAGAGAGCTGATCACAAATGCATGGACAATTCATCTTTGGCGGGCTACCGCCAAGAAACACCAAAAAATACAAGCTGACGTGCACAATCTGTTGCATTGAACACATTTGAACCAACTTTAGTCTCCTGACCCCCGTATACTTGATCAACCTATATATATATATATGTATATGTATGGGATGTACGTATACGTATACATTAAATATCATTCATACTTGATCCCAGCTACCCCTCAACACTGGCAGACACAACGAAGCAAGCGCCTCTGTCAGCATGGGCACCACCTTCTGTTCCATTGGCTCAGGAAGGACAGGAGGCTGCGCAACCCCAGGAACCTGCTCTGGTGTCTGGTTGGCCGCAGCACTTTGTTCCTGGCGAGAAACTGCGGGGCAAGGAGCTGGAGGAGAGAATTCAGGTGGTGCTGGAAGGGCCAGTAGAGGTTTTTGACTCGGCTGGACCTCAGCTCTTTGAAGCAAATCTCCCAAAGCTTTGCCAGCCGCTGGAGGCCTCTGCACCATCGAGACGTGGCAGCTGTCTTGCTGCCTACCCATGTGGTTGGCCTGCTGCAACATCATGCCGAAAAAAGCCTGAAACCCAGCCCAAAAAGTCTCAGGTGCCATAGAGTTCGTGTTCTGTTGGATCTTTTTGTTTGTGTTTCTGAGAGATATTTCCCTCGCAACGGTGCTGATGTCAATCATGGAAAAGGGGGGATTTGTAACAGGGCCTTCTGGCAGAGCAAAGGCCAAGAACCCAGACGCACAGTCTTGTGGATTCAAGGGTAGGCAAACCACAAAGTCGTCATTGGGCAATGGCACCTTGTCTTGCTTTGCTCTGAACATGTAGGTGTCCACGCGTGCTTTCACGTTCAAGAAGATCGAACGAAGCTTCGTAGATTCGGGCATGGTACCTTCTGTGACCTTGGGATCATCTCTCAGGATACAAAGTGCAGCCAGCACTGCTTGAGTCCGTTCGCTGGGGCTCCTCAACCCCAACGCAACCAGGCGCTTGAGACATACATCCATAGCAGCCAGGGTCGCAGGTGCTGCTTGGATTGCATCCCAAGTCTTTTGGTCAAAGTACAAAGGAAAGGCGCACCAATCCTGCATTGCAAGCCGCCCTGCGGCTTTGGTAGCTGCCGACATGGCCTCGCCCTCTACGCAACAACCCCCAGCAAGCTAAGCTAATGAGCGCAGCAAGCAATGAGACTCAGCAAGGCGGACCACCGCCGGGCAAGATGATCAACAAAAGCAGTGCACGAATCAATCCACTTGCCAGCAACAAAACTACATATACATCTGTTAGTGACTGTTAGTGTTTGCCTTGGCATGTAGTTTCCAGTTCAAGTATTGTATATATAGTGTGCACACTGGTATGTATTCGCAAAAGTTAATGAACTATTTTTTTGCCGCAATGAGAAAGTTTTCATAAGCAATTCAGGAAAATATTAAAAAACCAATGAAAAATACGAACAAGCAAAAAACAACACAAAAAAAAACAAAAAAAGCTAAGTTCTGTAAGTTGTTTGTAAGTTCTGTGCCCACCCAGGCTTAACTAACTTACAAATGCAATAAAAACTTACATCTTAGTTATAACTCATCATAAGGCTATCTTAAGTTAGCCCAACTTAACCCATGTTATAACCTATGTTACACTAGCTTATAACATATGTTACAATACTTCTAAGTTGGTCTAAGTTGAGGGGCCCCTCATTGCAGTACCCGAGTGGGAAGACTGAGCGAGTCACACTTCGAACTTTGGTTTTCAGTTAACTCAATTGCCACGATGGGAAGGAAGGTGAGGGAACGGAAAGGCGCATAAGTCCGCAAAACAGTATTGTTTAATCAATGTTTCACAGCAAGTGCGAGGTGAAGCGGCTGCACAGCGGCGGGAAACCTGTTTTTTGGGGTAGGTAGCATGAAGAACCATGGAATCAAACGAAGCAAATTAGACAGCGTGGTCAAAAGTTCAGGTTGCAGGTACGTCGAATGAGCGTCCTCTTTCGATATCCTAGTCTGAACCTGGAGCTTCGTTGGCTCACGCCAGGAACAGACCCGTGAGCCCCCTGCCTTGGATAGAAAATCTAGGTGGTGGTGGAAAAGTAAAACAGGTGGAAACCCTTAGAGCCAGGGTGTGACACACACACACACATGTGTAATTAGACTTTAGACTCTCGCCTGGATAACTGAGAGAATGGTGCAAACCGGTATTGGGACTACTTTATCTTCCTGACTCCACTGTTTTAAGGGTGCTCTAGCGGCACGGGCAGCGCCCAGACTCCTTTGATTCAGATTCCACTTGGGAACTGGTTCTTTGAGGTTTGGGAGTCTCAGAAACTCCATGGGACTGCCATATTTGCCTACATTAGGGTGGATTGGGGAGTCAATGGGGCGGCATATATGGCAGTCCCATGGAGTGTTTGGGTTTTGGACGATATAGTTCTTTGCCGTTTCAGGTCGTCTGAACTTCTTGGGCGCATGGAATTCAGTGCTGATCCCGGTATACCCCAGCTGTCCAACTTTTGGAAGGGATTCACCTTGGCGCTGAGACTCTGTCATCGTGCGCCACGCCATCAAAAACCAAAGATTCCACTTATATTATACCAGGACCATCCTGTCTGGGTGTCCAATGGAGACCTATAAGTAGTGTAGGGTAGTCCAGCCAGGACACCCAGACAGGATGGTGCAGGTAGAATTACCATTCAATTGATTTGTGTTCTCTTGGCAGACTCACAGACCTGGAGATCTAGGACCTTGTCATACATCTACTAAGAGTTTCAACCAGAGATGGTCGCAGGAATCTTCACCAAGGGGCAAAAAAAACACACCGAGTGGCGAGACCCGGCTTAGAGGGTCAACTGTAGTGACCTCTACTGATCTACACTCCATGGTGATCGGGGTGTTGGGTCTATCCCGATCCCACCTTCACGGAACCAGCGTGCCATACCCCATACCACCGCCGCGCCCAAGTACTGACGCGCCGAGGTGAAGCCAAGTGGACAAATGGGTCGGTCACTTGGCTCTGCGAAGGACAAGAGACCCGGGTCCATGCAGGCGAGCTCGGCGCTTGCCACGTGAGCGGATCGCGGGTTCAGGAGACGAAGATGTTTGGCTGGTCGAGATGATTTCCACCGGGGTAGAAAAAAAGGCTGCGCCAGTTCCACTGGGGTAGAAAAAGGCAACGGTTCTTTGGACGACATGTTTTCATGGGAGGGAAACTTGGAAAAGAACGAACAAGCTGTGAATCTTCATTTCCATCCATTTCCCCTATCATATCAATCTCTTCAAGAGAATCTTCCAGAATTCAGCTTTAAAAAGAGGCAGTATATGATTTATTTGGTTGGGTGGTTCCAGAGATTTTACTTTCACTACTGGGCAGTCTATTTACCCCGAACGTCCGCGTGAACCGCGTGCGTCACCGGGCTGGCCGGATGCCTTCGCCGCAGGCTTCGGTCTCAACTTCCAGGCAGCGGGCGCGAAAAGCGCCTTCGACCGGCTGCAGCGCTTGCGCATTGGCGGAATGATGGAAGATCTCAGCAGCATGGGAGACTTGTGCTGGAAGAGTGGTTTTCCCGCGGTGCGGGGTGGGGTGGGGGTGGTGGTTTTGGTGGTTTGGTGTGGTGGTGATAGAACGTTGGTGAAGGTGAGGGTTGGACATACTTGAAAGATTATGACTGTAGCGATGTGTGGTGATCAGGTAGAGGAAGGTAGTGACTGTAGACTCTTGATCAATAAATCCCCCAGGCTTGAAGAGGTTTTACAATCCAACTGTTGGGTTTTGTTCATCAAGAGTCTACATTATGGGAGGTGATGGTTGAGTCCTGGGTGTTTTCAGCCGGTCTGGGTGAGAGGCGGTTCTGGGATTTCGGGCAAGGATCGGCAGACAGGGACCATGGTGGCGGGGCATGGTGACCGGGGTGCGTACGTGAGGCGGGGTCGGGGTGTGGACGCACCCCTCCAAATACCTCCAATGTTTGAATCCAGGCGAACCACTCGTTCGCTGGGAATCAGTGGTTCCAGCTCGACTAAAACCCTAGACCCAAGACTCGGGGCCCCTGGTTCCAAACGAATCCTGGTCACTGGGATGCACTGGGTATGTTTGGCATCAGCAGCCAGCGGTCGTCTTCGGCACTCGGAGAGGTACCTTTCAACTCCGTCCACATGACTGGTCCAGACGGGAGGGCGTCGTCCGGTGGTCTCTCGCAAGTCATTCCGAGTCGGACACTGCGAGGTGGAACAACTCGCGGTTGGGCACCCCTGGACCTCCCGGGCAACCCCCTGAGATTCCGGAGCCTTTTCGACCCAGTAAGGGGTGCAAACAGGGTGTCACCAGTGGTGTCACCCTTTTTCGTATGTATGTATCTCTGTGTGACAGAGAGACCGTGAAGTGCTCCTCGCCTGGGGGTGCCACTTCAGACTCCTCGCACTCCTCTCTCTGTCTCTCTCTCTCTCTCTCTCTCAGCGACCGAGTTGGAGCTCAAACCAGCGGAAGTGGAGCATTCACTGAAACTCTTGGGTCGGTCTTGGTGGGTGACCCGGTCGGTCTGTTCTGGTGAGTGATGGGATGGTGATGGAAGGCTAAGAGATCCGTACTCACCGACCGCTTTGCTTTTTCGAGCCACCCAAGAGCCTGCTAGTGAGGATTCCTCAGCCGTGTGGGCATGTACGTGAAGCGCTCGAGCCTTTGATGAAAACAGGTTTTTTTCCAGGCGCTCCCAAACAGCCGTTGGTCCCTCAAAACCTAGGGATTTGACCCCTCCATATCTACTGCGCTTCATCCAATAATATGATTTTGAGTTCTCCTCAGAAGACAAGACGGGATGTGTGAAAAAAAGAAAATACTATATGTATTATCTTTCATTCATTGTAATGTAATATATTTGTAGACAGTAGATTCTTGATGATTCTTGATGAATACTTCCATACTAGTATGAAGAGGTTTACAGTCCAAATGCGGGGGGGTTATCAATAAAGAGTCTACATCAATTACAGTATTGGTTTATTAGCAGCACTACTATGTCTTCGGAGCACTTGAGCAGCTTGATGCGTGAAATCCTGCAAAGCCATGCGAGAGGCCTGCCGGGTGCCATGTGAAACCAGATTGTGTACGGAGGTGTGGGAGATGTTGTTCAAAAGGGACATGCAATGTTCCTCCATCCCAGACACTCCATGGGACTGCCATGTATGCCTACATTGGGGTGGTTTCAGGGGTCAATGCCGGCATATATGGCAGTCCCATGGAGTGTCTGGGTATGTTCTTCTCAGAAGTTAAGAACAAATAGGGTTCCTTGTTGGATTTTTCATTCATTTTCATCCCAATGGGCCCATGATTGGCAGATGAATCATATCTAACCACGAAGGAACCAGGCTTTCGTTCGGTCTACGGTTTAAGTAGAACTGGTATCATTGGTCACTAACCATAGCATTTAAAAGTTCCGATGGTGTGGGATGAAGATCTTACCAGACGCTCTGTGGAAAACAACCCTTTCCCGGTCCCTCAGAACGGGATTGCCCCACGCTTTTATTCTTGCAAGGATTCCAATCCAGACGTCGCATTTGGTCAGATCACCAGGCTGCGCACCGACCCCATGACCAGTTCGGGCCGCCCCGCGACGTCTGGGTCAGTCAGTCAGATCACCCACAGTGCATTGGCCGAAATCGCTGCGCCAAGCCTTGGCGCGCGCGCATCTCGGCGCCCGCCGCCTTCAGCCCGCCCACGCTGCTTGACGCGAGGATCCGCGAGCGAGCGCTGATGGATCGGATCTTCTTAGACGATTATCGGACCTACAACGCCTCGCGCCAGGCGGCGACGGCGTCGGACGACGAAGTTCGGCGGGGAGTTGTCGGAGTTGTGTCTTTTTCGTTTGATTGGAGGTGGATCGAAGGACGACGAACGAGATCATGGGCGCGTGCGGAAGATGGGCAGAAAAGAAGGGTTTTAGGGACAAAAGGGCAGAGGTCTCAGGATTCGTTATCTGTCTTTCTTTTGCGACGGAATATATATGTATACCCGACCCTAGGCTTCCAAGACCATTAAAAGGAACTATAGTCTAAAGTCACTCAAGTCCTTGTAAGTGAAACTATAAAACAATGCGTTGGGTAAAGTAACGACATTTAAATGAAGGGTGGTTGCAATCCTAGGGTAATGTATCCCATGTAGTCGGTAGAGGTCATGTCAATATTAGGTCAATGGCCACGGGTGCAAGTAGAATGGAACTTCTACACTTCTACATGGCCTGGCGCCACCAGCTGACCCAGTTGTTAGTTGGCTATAATAATAGTTTTACAGCAGAATGAATGCCACATAACTTCAGCAACTTCCTGAATACTATGATCATCCTCCAGCACCCCTCAGGTTTCGGGTGTTTTTAAAGAACCCCGCGACCACTTGCTTTACCATCCACCACCCGGTTCCGGTCCAGTCGGGTGGTTTCATCCGTCCATTGCGACCCGGCAACGTGGTCGTCGTGGGGTTCGGTTCGTGGGGGGCTCGGCGATGGCTCCCGTTGAGCCCGTGGAGAAACGGTGGAGATCTGCCACGAGTACGGCAGTTTTTGATGTGTGTTTGATGGATCAAACTTATGGATGGACTAGTAGCATATGAATATGTAGAAGGTCAACACATCGTTCAGCACTTCACACTGCACCCCAAATCGAGAAAATGACCTCAAGTCCTTTCTCTTTTGATACAAATCCTGGCATATTTGCATACATTGGGGTGGTTGAAGTTGGGGCCAATGGGGTGGCATATATGTCCTGGATCCATGCATGGAGTGCTTCTTCGCCTGTGTGGGCTACAGAAAGTCCCCTCACGTCTGGGGGGAAGTCTGGCCGCCAGACAGTCCCATCCTCCTTTGGATCCTCTGTATATCTTCCAGTTCAACGTGTCTTGTCTGGGTATATCTTTTGATTCATCCCCCATGGAGCGGAAAGTGATGGCTTTCCTGTCGACTGTCCAGGTCTCGACCTGTGCGGAAGTCCCACGGAGCCTGTAGTAGCACTCGCATTCGACTGACCACACGACCGGTCGCCAGTCGCTGGTCGCGCTCGGACCTCGCAGAGACCAGCCCGCAAGGCCTTCTATCAGCCCCAGCGGTACTTTACGCCCTTAAGCTCCATCGACGTGGATCTCTTGGTGCCCTGCGATCAATGGACCCTGGTCGACTGGCACACCAATGCCATGGCAGACAGCGACTCGGGACGGGAAGGAAGTCGTGCATCCGCTCTCTGCTGCAGGCATTTTTTTTCGTCAAGGGTTGGGAGTGGCAGAGGATGGAAACCAGCCGCGGACCCGAGGATTCCATCGGATTCAAATCCACCAGCTCGAGTTTCACACAAACAGCGTTCTTTTAGGGTCCCGAAAGGAGGTTCATGGTTCGGTGTTTGGCGTCCCTTCTGTGTCGATTCGAATTATGATGTTGACACACATGAAAATCATACATAAAATATCATAAGAGATCAATGGAGTTGTAAAAAGACATGAAATGCATTGATCAACGGCTCATACCCATTGAAGATGACTCCGGAAATATCATCACCGGTTGAGAACAGGTTCCATCTGATCAAGCTGTTTGGATTTGGCCCAAACAATCCTTGGACCCAACATCTTGGCAGGGGTTTGGGCCCAGCCAAACCTTTTCTATGGGTTCGGGTTCCGGATTCTTATGGTTGTTTCGAAAAGATCGCAATGTTCAGATGCAACTTGATGAACATGACAACATACCCCCAAACGCTGACCCGAATCTGGAGGGGTCTTTTTGTCGAACCCGGTCCGCCCGATCGGTTGGGCTTCGGGGACCGGAGCGTCGGGCGTGTGGGCGCGGAGCGTCCCAGACACGTTCGCCGAACGGCCTCCAGTCTTTGACCGACCCAAAGGAATGTCTGGCCATCAATATTCTTGGTGCACCTCCAATGGGCAAACCCGAACAATCGAACATGACACTCCCAACAAAATAGTGAAACCACTGAAACCACTGAATGAAGGTCTTCACCACATGTTGCTTTGAAGGTCTTCCACTCATTCACTTAGTTTCGCATCAATCTTTCCAACCCCTTCATCTCACCTGGGGTGCATGCAAGGTGTTTGCGCTTCATGTTTTTGTTGCAGATGTTCCTTCGACAAGCACCTATCCGTCCTAGCCGTCTTCCCTCAAACCTTCGATTCCCTGCATTAGATGCCCTGTAAAGGTCAAATGATCTGAAAAACGGACCCATCATTATGTGGGGTACCCAGTGCCCAGTCCGGATCTAGTCGAACAGTCGGGGTCTTCAACCTCTGCAGATCCCATCGCGGACACCATGTGTCGCCCCCCACTCGCCGCCTGAGATGCTCAATGGACACCACCGTGTCGTGCTGGAAGGCCCGGTCGGGTTTGTCCGAAGCCCCGGTCGATCGGCTGTGCAGCGCAGGGGCTGAGGTCGACCATCCGAGGTCGCGTCCGTGGGGCCACAAGCTGTTTCAGAGGATCGAAGAAGCGAAGAAAGGGGAAAGATGGGAAAGGGGGATCTTCTTCAGAGAACATCAGGCGTCCCTTTTCCCATTGGAGTACAAACGTCAAGAGAACCAACTTGGTTTGATCTTTTTCAGAGAACATCAGTCCTGGATGCTGTCGGGGGGTAGGATTTCTCGAGTATCATCGATGAGAGACTGGATTTCGGCCATGAAGGCCCTACAGGCAGCCAGAGCTGTGGGGCCATTGGGGTGAAGGTGTCGAGCACCTGCAACTGTTGAAGAGGCTTCCTGCACCAGATATGGGCGAATCTCCAATGCCAAGACCAGTTTTGAATGGCAGTGCTTCAAGTTCTCGTTCAATTTCTGTAAGCCAAAGGTAATTATCGTGGAGACTCAACCTGGCGATACAATTGTTACATGATCCTTAAGGAGATCCGGTTTTCCAAGGTGGTGCAGAATATTGCTCAACATTCATCAACACGACATCCAACGAAATGTCCCTCCCGTCTTCGACTCCGCCACCGTTCGGGCGTGGTGAAAACGTCGCAGGTGACGAAAAGAAACACATTGGACACGGGTTTCCCATGAACATAGATGTTGTTTTTTTCTCCACATCGCAGGTGGTGGCTCTCAGACAGTTGCCAGCTCAACAGCAGCCACTGCATCCCCTTCATCACGTATCGCATCGGCGGCTATGTGAACAACGCGAACAACATGATCTTCAAGGCCGGGGATTTTTGTGGTTGTTTTTTGAACCAAAATTCATGAAGGAGGAGTGCTTTTGGGCATCAGTGCAGGTTGGTCAAGTAAAAGCTGGTTTTGCTTGGGCTTAGGACGATGTGTTTTTTTCGTTTTTCCCAGCTGGGTGAATCCCCTATACTCTCCGAGTGATTGACATGGGAAACCACCGGCGTGTGGTCTTTGGGTTTTTCAATGGTCAGTTCAGGTTTTTGTGTGTTCAGAAGACCAAACATGCGTCACCATGATTCCATTGAGTGTATCAACCATTATATGACCGAACATGACCACCACGTCCTCCAAAGAACAACGACTCATCAGTTTGGACCATGATGATTTCGTGGGAGAACGCACTGAGAGGAACCACGCAGGGAGGAGTTGCACCCCGTCCTTCGTTCACGTTCCCGTCCGATTGGTCGGACGTGCGAAAAAGCGGAGTGGTCAGAGTTCCCAGAAGTTCCACTTTCGGAAGGTCAGACTTGACAGTTTCCAGTGGTCCGGTGGAACTGTCTTGACTCATTTGGCCCCCCCCACGACTGAAGTCGTGGGTGTCCACCATTTGGGGTGGGGTGGGACGGTCCAAAGGGATGAGACCAGCAGGGCAAAAATTGCTTTGTGCAGGAGACCATCAGGGTATAGATCTTCCCCACAGTTTCTGCATGTTCATTCATCAAACCCGCCAAAAGGCAGACATGCTGCACTATAGTTGGAAGATCCAGGTATAGTCACTAGTCCATACATGGAGTGTTTGGGATAGCCTTGAGTGAAGCCTTGGGATAGCCTTGGCATTACCTCAGTGGAACTTCTGCGCTGTTCATGTCAGTAAGTGATGCAAACATGTGCGTATCTTCGATTGCAAGAGAAACTTGGTCCCTATACTTCTGAAGAATGACATAGAATGACACTCCTTCTGCTTCTTTTGGAGGCCAACTTCTTGAACATTCCGATCGCAGTGGGAGCCGCGGATGGCTACTGGTTTGACTCCAACTTCTATCATTTGGTGATGAAGCACGAGGCCAGGATCTCCCATTGCGGTCGCGCGATCCGTTTTTTCCAGATCTTTAATGTTTGTGGATGTTTGTGGAGCTTTTATTTATGCAGGGGTTGAGGTTCGGGTAGGTTTGGGGGTTGCAGATGCTAAGACCAAGCGGCAAGAGAGCTAAGGAAACAGTGCCTCAAATGTAAATATATAGCTATAGGGCTTTGGGCAGATGGAACTTGAACCAGGCAGCTAGCCAGGCGATTTCGTGCTCGAGTGCATCCCTGCTTCTCAGCTGCCGCAGCTGGTCGGGTTGGATATAGGTTCAACATGTTTCAACCAAGGCTATTGAGAGAGGACATGGGTGAATATCATCGAATATTTGCCTGTAAAGACCACTACCCTCAAGCGTGTCATCCTGACTTCTGTGCGCTATTCTTGAATGCACTACTCCTTTGCGTGTGAAGCAGACATCCAGCTGTGGAAGGTACAACTTTCGCGTGGATACCATTCTACCATCTTCTACCCATGGTTTCATGGTTTCCCAGCCAAACTTGCACCTTCACAGTGACAGCCTTCACCTATGCGTCCGGCAGCAAAACATGGCCACTTGTTGAAGCTTTGGTACCGTTGTTGCTAGAGGCTGGAGCCGGCGAGGATGGAGAGGCAAATGATCACAAATGTCAGGCAACAGCTTTGATTCTTTACAGTTCTATATTGGCCAGCAATGCCAGTGGTGCACTTGTTGCTTGAGGAGCTGAGAACGTCAGGTTTCGCGGCGCAGCGCAGCAGAGGCATGGCAACCGCAATCTTAAAAAACCGCTGGCTGTGGAGGTTTTCAGCCACGGCTGAGCTGACGCGCTCTGAGAGACTGTGAGATGCTGCCAGCGCTCTTGAGATACACGTGTCGAGGAGAGTCGTAGCTCAGCCAAGCTCTCTCAGCTGTGCCTACAGCTCAGCAGCTCAGCTACACGTCGCGAGCTTCGAGTCAGCTTGGAATCGAGTTTCACGTTCGGCAGCTGAGTCCGAGCTTCGTTCGTGGCGGAGCGTCCAGATTCGGCACGAGAAGGACCCGATCGTCGTTTCGCATAGACCCAACACCAGTGTGGGTCTTCGTGTGCATATGCCGACTAGATATAGACTCTATCCCACAAGCAACATGAACCTAAGTGCACCAGGACCCACCAGGAGTGGTCAATTGAACACCCCCTTGCTTCGATCTCAAAAGATCTCCAGACGCACTTTTCATTGTTAAATTAGACACCTCAACTTCAGGTCCAAGCCATGCGATTCAGAGATCTATCTTAGACCAACCGCAGAAAGTACTTGACTTCGTCAGTTTTTTCCATCATGATACAATAGCAGGTCCTGTATCATAATATACATGTTTAGACCACCACAACAAGAATTCATGTTCACCTCCCGTCAAACACTCCGCTTCCACCCCCCGTCTGACAGGTCCTCTACTTCTTCTTCGAGCCGTACATCACCTTCGAGCTCCTCGAGCCAACCCTTGTGGATCTCCCCGCGCCCGACGCCACAGGCTCCTTCTCCGTGGACACCGAGCCGCGCATCGTGGTGAGCAGCTCGGTTCGGGAACGGCGCGATGGCGGCCCTGGAAGCTCTGGAAGTTGTGAGACGAAAGCGGGTGATTCTTGAGATGGTGGGTGAATTCTTAGCATTAGGAAGATGTTGCCTTTGATCAGATCCTTCTGTCACTTCAGGTCCTTCTCTCGCTGGCTGAAAACGCTTAAACTTGGCCTCAGGAGGAGGATGTGGATGGGTCATGAAGCCATGTTCATGTGACTCCTTCACCGGTTTTTTGTATCTTTTTGTGAGAACAACCATCACTTTGGGCACGTCGCTCGGAGGTGCCGCCGGAGTGTTCCTAAGGTTTTTCGTCTGTTCAGTGTTCCAACTGCCGGGGTCATGGCCGAACTCCACCGAGGGGGGCGGAGTTCGGTGCCCCAACATGAGGAGGTTCCGCCAGTACGGACTCAAGTTGAGCACCAGCAGCTTGTGTATTTGACAAGGAAAAGACCGCCACGGGCAGCTTCTTCAAAGATGCCCCCAAGTGACCTTTCGATGAGGGTGTGTGACCTAAACTGGGATCTCAAACACTTGGATCAGCCAGTGTGCCAACCATCATCCCACCCACTCCCAGAAGCCAAATCCACACCTTCACCACCTTCCTACATCCCGGGAGTGGTTCTTTTTCCCAAGCCATCAACACAGCTGGCGCAACGAGCCGTCCACACTGTGGCGAGCAGAAGCTGCCCAGGTAGCGACTTGGTCAAGTTGGCACCTGAAGTGCGGGAGATGCTGCTGCGAATGAAGTGGAGCATGGAGGACCCCCCCTGGCGCCAAGGCGACGAAGGCATGCCTTCGAACAAACCAAACTTGCTCTCTAGGCGAGCCGTTTTTTTTCACCACCCAGCCGCTCCATCCACGGCCCGACAGGGTCCCGAACCAAACCATAGGGTTTGGTTTGGGTCCAGAGTCCAGAACCCCTCATCCTAACGATTCGGATTCGACTCCTGCCAGGTTCGGGTCCAGGGTTGCGTTTGGGCCATGGATTACTGTAATTCTCGGAGGTGATACCTTTTTTGGCGAGATGTGTTTTGAAGAAAAAGACACCAGTATTCAAAACGGTTCTTTCGATCGAAAGTGAAGTATATAAACCCTGGTTCCTTATTGTTATCCCTGTAGAAGTATCCAGAAGTCCAAAGACTGCATTTATTAAGGTTTCAGGCAATTCCTCAACTTGGGTTATTCAATTATTCAGTCAGTGTTTCCAATCTTCTAAACCTCATCGAGTATTGCTCCAACACTTTGAAACCATCGATGAAGACCGGGATCCAAGATGGACCACCTCGTTCACCTTCTCCTCATTGGTGAGGACATTCAGGAAGTGCTTCTGGCCGCTGCGGCTGCGGCGGCCACGGCTGCTGCGGCGGCCACGGCTGCTGCGGCGGCCACGGCTGCTGCGGCGGCCACGGCTGCTGCGACGGCCGCGGCGCTGGAGGATCAACTACTGGAGACTTGGCGGGTCCCCGCAAGCGTGGGACGCAGTGGAGTGGGAGGGTCGTTAGCTGGATGAAGCGGGTTTTCCAAAGGACTCGTAGAATTCTTTTAGACTACAACACCAGCTCCATGCATGGAGCTGTGTCTTCGAACCTGGGGTTACGGTACAATTAGAGGTTTTGCATGGTTTGACATTTGACCCTCCTGAGGGGAGGTGTGATTCATCGTTTATTTGGACCGTCCGATCCAAGTGTCCGTCCAGAGTGCGCCAGTGGCACTGAAGCAATCAAGGCAATATCTGAAGGGGTCCTTAAGGTGTGAAGCCTGCAGCCTACTGATGATTTTTTGGGTGGAATGGACACTGAACATCTGGGCTGATTTAATGACTGTTTTTCACGTGAGAAAGAAGAAACACTCATTCCAGGTATATACTAGTCTTGCTGGTCATGAGATCTACAACGAACGAACCTGCAGCGACGGGGTCAGTGCTGAGTCAATGGCTTTGGTCGTTGTTTCGTTCCTTTGGCGGTCGGCTGCAAGGTCTTCTCTATTCTAACCTCCCACCCTGCCATGATGTTGATTGAACATCATGAGGATTTTGAGGAATCCCTCTCAAGATGCCGTTATGTTGCAACGAAGCTATTCCGGCTCATCACTGGCCAATAAGGTTTGCAAAAGACACTAGCTATCAATTATCAATATGCCTGAGTAGCTAAGGCTGTGCTTTTTTGCTCAATTCATATCGGGTTTGTTTTGCCAAATGGAATTCATGAACACTTCCAACACAGTTTTGTTTTGTTAGTGCAGTACTTTTTTGCCAATGTAGCTTTGCAAGCTCCCCAATCAGCGCGAACAAATAAACTTGATGTCCATGAACTTTTCCAGCCTGACGGACCACACTTTGCCTCCAAGACAGGGGTCACTCGGGTATACTCGGGTTCTGGGAAACCACGCCCCAACCAGATTCTTCAAAGTCCTTAAGTGACCAGGCTCCAGGCCCAAGTGACTGCTTTTCCAAGGGGATGAAGCTGGGTCACTTTGAAGAAAAAGGAAATCTTTGACCCAATCGAAATGACTCGACTCCATTCGACTCCGCATGGAACGTCATCTTCGCTCAGGCGAACCTGACGGGCGCCTTTACGACGGGTGCCGCCTCTTCGGCATCGCCCACCGAGTTCAAAGAACAGGCGGTCTACCAAGGAGCGAGGCGTGAGGTCATAGTAGTAGTAGTAGTAGTAGTAGTAGTAGTAGTAGTAGTAGTAGTAGGAGTAGGAGTAGGAGTAGGAGTAGGAGTAGTAGTAGTAGTAGTAGTAGGAGTCCCATTCGCACGGGACCGACGGGAGTGGTCGGCATGTCGAACAGATCGACGCAAAGAGCTGGCCTGAGCTGCTTGTTTGCCTTTGTACACCATTTTCTGGAGCCCTAGGGTCTAAAGACAATGATGGAAAAAGAATGGAAAAA